AAGATTTTAAAAATGTTAAAAGTTTTAAATTTTTTCGGAATGAATAGACCAATGAACGTATAATACGATTCCAATCAGTACTTATATTTTGCATAGGGGGTAATAATGCTTAATGGGCACACTTAAGACTGTTAAACTCAATTACCTTTGCATACTTCATTTATTTGCCTGTTTATTTGAAATGCTCGTGATGGCCATCGAATGAGTGCTTGAACTCGATGACTCAATTGAACTCTTTTGACCCACTTATTGCCATTGGCAACTGCCATCGATACCCACTTGTGCAATGCGTTTTTCGAATGTTTACTTTTCTTTTCTGAAAAATCCATCCAAATTATGTTAGATCACAACTTGAACTGCAAATTGCTCTTCTGCTGCAATTGGTTGAGCAAAAACAGAGAAAAATCCAAAACAAGAAGTGGGCTTGAGTCCCTCATGGAAATCGGCACTCACCTGGGCACTTGTGAATCAAAACTAAAAGTCAGTGGAAAATTCTTTCAGTCAGCGAGTATATGTGTGTGAAAGGAAGGAAAATGGGGGAAAACTAGGCCAGTGTCCTGGGTAAAACAACAAGCAGTCAACCTTTGAGACCTTTCAGCGATTGTCTGGCTTAGAGAGTGCAGTTTGTTTTATTTTCCCCTTTTTTTTCTTGCAGCAGGTGAACAGCACGTGTGCCTTTCCCCCTTTTTGTTGTCGATATTGTCAATTTATTTAAGTGCACGTTACGCAATGCAAACTGCAATCCCCGTTCAGGGTATTTCCAGTTCTTAGCCCCTGTTGTTTATCCGCTTTTGTATCGGTAGCATCGGTGTGCTATATATGGCTCAGAAATTTTCATGCCAGGCAGGACGTTTTCCCCCATTAAGAGTCATTTCGTTTTCATGTTTTCACTTTTCTTTTGCAAAAAATAGAAATAAGAGCAAAAAAAGAACAATAATAAAAACAGCACGAGTGCTCGACATCGTTTGTTGATTTTATTGTTGTTTTAAGGGGAACACTCAATGCCACTGGCTGAAGTTCAAATTTACTTAACGCTCCGACTGGCTTGGCTTTGTTTTCACTTCCCTTTATTTGTCTGCATTTTATTTAATGAATTTGCATTGTTCCCGCCCAACACAAACATAAATGTGTTTCTAACTTTCAGTTCAATTTAAACAAGGCGGAGATTATTTGACAAGTCTTTTTGGCCAGCTTTTTCTTTTCTTTAACGCGGCTAAGACAAGTTTTAATGGCATTTAAATGCTTTATTTATCCCACCTTTTTATCTTAAGAAAAAAGGGAATTCATTAAGAAAGGAAAAACACAAGAGGATTGGGAAGTAATTCTTTCATTTGGGTTTACACAAAGATTGTATTAAACAGAAATCCCGAAAGAAAATACACTTCTCCACAAGTAGAGTACTTATTTGTATAACCATTGTAATTATTGATATTTTTGGACAGGCGCCACATGGAAATGTTGATACAAGAAGGGGCAGGAGCGACAGTAAATTGCTTTAATTTGTCAGTAAAAATGATGGTGATGTGGGGAATGGCATGGCCTGTTTTCAGGACCAGGATGAGGACAGTACACGCAATGTAACCAGCTCCCAGTTTGCAGCTCGCAGCTCCCAACTTGGTTAATTGGCCCCTCGCACGCACAGGTCACAGGATCGGGGCATTCAGGGGTTTTCAGGGGGCTTCAGAGGATTCAGGACCAGGGGCCTTTTTCGGTATTCAATTACCACATTGCCGAAGGACGTGGAGCCGAGGCAGGAGGCGGGGGAACCGCTTAAAGGCACAACTGCCAACTGCTGCTAATAGTCACCCTTTGAACCGGACCAAGTTAATTTCCAATGAAATTGGGGGCCAGGGTTAAATGGCCAGAAATCGAAAACAGAAATAATGGTACGTGGGCAGAGACAATAGCCCTTATTGCCTTAAATACACTGTTAAATATTTAAAGTGCTCTCTTGTCTCCTGTTCTGCCGAATAATAATGCCCAGCTAATAACACAGCTATTTATATGGCAACTAATTAAATAGGGGAATTATTCCGCTTTCTCAGACCAAACAATAGAATTCCCTGACACGTACTGGGACTATTCAAGAAAATGCCCAAGATGTTCTAGATATTTTTGGGAACTAGTTAAATTGTTTTTCAATGAATAAATTATCATTAAATTGTGTACCTATTACTTATTAAGGAGGACTATAACTTACTTTAAGTAAGTAGGTCTTTTTGAATATTAATGAACCCTATAAAATACATTAAATTAGTATATGCATTTTTTCTTAAGTATATCAATGCCGTATATACATTGTTAGGCTCAATATTGTTACTAAATAAAATATAATATATATATATATAATATAAAATATAAATTAGATAAGGTAGAATCTTAGAACATGACATTACTAATATTTAAATTCAAGTGAAATGAAAGTAGTTATAGCTTAAATTAAAATAATTTAAAATGTATGTTTATACATATTTTATATTTTATTTCATTAGGATCCCATTTGATTATCCCATAATATTATCAGTGTGGTATTCTTTTTTGGTTAAACTTGATCCAAGATCCATTAACCTTTATGGTGTCTGTTTCCCCATTTCCCCTGCAGAAATCCCCGAGGAGTCTCTCGAACTCCTCGGCATCGTCACTCCCCGAGAGCCGGAGGCACCTGATGGACCTGGACGAGGGCGAGCTCTTCATGGAACTGATTCGCGACGTGGCCAACGAGCTGGACATCGACGTGCTGTGCCACAAGATTCTGGTCAATGTCGGGCTGCTCACCCACGCGGATCGGGGCTCCTTGTTTTTGGCCAAGGGCACGCCCACCAACAAGTATCTGGTGGCCAAGCTATTCGATGTCACTCAAAAGACAGGTGAGACTGCAATGGAAATGCACAATTTCCATTGGCAATTTTGTTGCTCCACACACTTTGGGTTTCTGTAAAGGGCGTACTATGCTTGTGGGCGGAATCCTTGTGGCACAGGTAATCCCGCTTTAATTAAGGTGAACAATGCACACAACGAACTACTGCAACACAATGGCTGAAGAAAGCAAAAATGAATGAAAAATGGGAAAAAGGCGAGTCAAGTGCGCTCAGTGATTTCCACAAATGCAGGGGGGATAACTGAAGGACTCTGTTAAAAGGCAGATAGACTGAGAACAACATGGTCAAAATCCATGTAAGAACGAGAAATAGGCAAAAGCAATCAAGTTAGAAGTAAAAATAGCCTTTTTGAATACCAGTTTGCATTTAAATTGTATGATTTCGTCCTCTTGTTATTTGACATATGTGTTTGGTATTATAAGCCTCTTTGTTTTCTTGGGAATATTACTTTGTTTTTTTTAAAAGATTTCCTTAGGGGTTTTATTACAATACAAATTACGAAATAGCTTGGCCCCATTAAGTTCTTGAAAAGTTTTAAATCAATATAAGGCATGAAATAACACCATCAATAGATACGATTCCTTTAATTAAAGTTATTTTCAATAGGAATTATGAAACTCACTAAATATTACCCTTTGAGCTATTTTGAAAATGTTTAGGGGCCAACCCAATGGACGTATACAAATTGACACTCATTAGCGGCCGGGTAAATAATTCTTGGCCTGGCCAAAAGGGGCCGGCAAACACATTAGCGAAATTAGGCTGAAGTGCGTTACATTCGTAATGAATCTTTGGCGCAGATCCGTGAGTAAAAGCCACCGCTTCCGCTACATAATTCAGTGGGGAAAATGCGAGAAAGATTAGAGCAGGGAAATGTGAAGTGGTGGCAATGGGTAGATATATCTACCATTATACGGATACGATACGGATACATGTGGCCCAGGCCCACTGAGATTATGTTTGAGGCGGGACCGGCGAGCTCATGCAAATTCACATTTGACTTCTTGCCCTCGGATTTTGGATTTTCGGGGGCCCTGTCATTATTTATTTATATATTATTCTCTCTGTGTTTTCGGTGTTTCTGCGAAGGCCCTGCTCTTGTATCTTTTGCATGGCAGAGTGAATATTTTGCCTATAAATTTAATATTTACTCAGTTGCACGACGGGCTTTATCTGCGTCCTAATACGCTTTGCAACGGTTGAACTAATTTCGAGGCAGTATGTGGAAAAAGGTTGAACGTGTTTAAATTTCAATTGTAGAGGCATTAAGAATTTATAAAAAGATACATGCCGGGCCTAAGGGATTTTCAAAGGGCTTTACTTATGAGCTCATTTTTGAATATGATAAGGAAAGCCTGACAAACTGCTAAATTAAAGTGGAGTCTTTTGAAATTCTTCAAGTTAGGGACAAAGCATCTTGCAGATGCATTACTTCAATTTGAAAAGCGCTGAGTCCTGCGTTAAGATGTGAGTGCTCAATCTTAATTCAGGAATTTTTTCATGATTTTTGATAGCTCTCTTGGCACAGCGTTTTCCCCTTGATTGACTTCAGTTTGAATCTCGTTTGATTGCAGCACTCAAGGACGCGGTGACTCGGGCCAGTGCCGAAGAGATTATCATTCCCTTTGGCATTGGAATCGCGGGAATGGTGGCGCAGACAAAGCAGATGATTAACATCAAGGAGGCCTACAAGGATGCGCGCTTCAACTGCGAAATCGATCTGAAAACAGGCTACAAGACGAACGCCATCCTCTGCATGCCCATCTGCAATTACGAGGGCGACATCATAGGCGTGGCGCAAATTATAAACAAAACGAATGGTGGGTATATTACCCCTCTGTATATATTCATTTTTAAATATATCTATAAAACATTTTTTAGGCTGCATGGAGTTTGATGAGCACGACGTGGAAATCTTCCGTCGGTATCTGACCTTCTGCGGGATTGGCATTCAAAATGCCCAGCTCTTTGAGATGTCCGTCCAGGAATACCGGCGTAACCAAATCCTTCTCAATCTGGCCCGCAGCATCTTCGAGGAGCAGAACAATCTCGAGTGCCTCGTTACCAAAATCATGACAGAGGCCCGGGAACTTCTCAAGTGCGAAAGGTGCTCGGTGTTTCTGGTGGACCTCGACTGTTGCGAAGCGGTAAGTGATATATTTAACAATTTCAATTTTTTAATTGCCAAGTCACTTAAGCATTAAGTGATATTTTGATTTAAATTTAAATGCTTAGACTAGTGGGGTTTGGCTACTTTAAAAACATCTAAAACCTTTGAAATTTAAGGAATGAGCTTTCGTTCTTGATAACCACTACCCCGTTAAAGAAATATCATCTTGAGTTCGTCGTTTAAATTCCAGTCGTGGGTATTCAGCCAGCTTCATGGTCATATTATCTACATAGACTAGATCCTCATAGCGAAAACTTGTGCTTATCTTGTAATTCCTGAGTAATCGGCATAAAGCGAACTTTGAAGACATCATTGCATATTTCGAACCTATAAAAGACATTAAATATAATGAAACCATGATACTTTCAGTCGAAAGACCACCCAACCTATGCAGTTTCTCTTTCCCCTTGCAAAGGGAACGAAGGCATATGAGTGCCGTTTCTCTATGTTTTTGGGTAAGAAGTTATCTGGGTTGAATTTGGATGCATCTGGACCCCAGACCTCCGGATTTCTGTGGGTGTGAAATATATCGATGACTATAACTACTCCTTTGGGCAGAAGAACACCATTTGAAAGCCTGACATCATTCTTCGTTGCTCTCGCCGTTATTGGTATGACGGGTATCAGGCGCAGGGTCTCCTTCATCACTCGTTCTAAATAAATCAATTTTTGCATATCTGAATAGGTTACTTCAAAGTCCCCGGCGGTGGGGAAGACGTCAACTAGCTCCTCGAAGACCGCAATCTGGTGCTCGGGATGCGTGGCCAGAAGAAAGAGAGTATGATATACCGTCAGAGCTGATGTATCATAACCAGCGGCAATCATAATACAACACTCGCTTTTCACGTCCGTATAGGAAATATCGCCTTTGCGGAACAGTTCCATAGCACGATTAATCACAATGTTCATCTCGGGATCTGATTTACTTTCATCCGTTGCGTTCTGCTTTTTTTGAACCACCTGATCATCGATAAAAAGGCTAAGAAAGAAATTGTAGAAAAAGAATCTTCCACTTACATTGTCCAGCAGTTTTTGAATTCTTAAAAGATTGTCTGTTTGCACCTTTTCATAACCGCACAGCTTGGAAATTATTTTGTTTTGGGCCAAAGGCATCAAAATATTTAGTGTTGTTTGACATATGAGTATTTTATATAAAGCGAAGCAATTTATATACTAATGGATTTATGCTTAGGATTGGACTTACGCTTCAAAGCATTCCACAAGGGCATTGTTTTTAAAGTGCTCATCATGTTTCACATCAGATCCCATTGTGGTTTCTGCGGACAGAACCAAAAATGTTAAGGACCAAATCAATACGAGTATATATAAGAATGGCAGGATGACTTACGAGCAGCTATTCTAAACGACCACCTGAGCATGTCTGGAACCACATCTTGTTCGCCTTGATCGGCATAACTTTCAATCTTGTTTCTAAGGATATTCGTCTCGGCATCGAAAATGTGAAAAAAGCTGAGCAGGACATCATGTTTAAATGCTGGGTTAAGGTGTTTCCGACGGTCAATCCACTTGTGATCTAATAAGACATCGGTATTATATGGCTTTTGCATAGCTAATTCCAATACCTTCTAGTCCCAACAATCCAAGTCCCATACAATTGGTTATCGCAGCATTGACATGCGGGCTCTTGTTGTTGCAATCGGAAGAGTTAAAGGCATCCTCGACGACATTGGGATCCCTGGTCACTATAAATGGCACTGGACCCATCCAAGTTAAAATCGTCGAGCCATACTTGTCAAGATACTTGGTTCGAAAACTAATTTTGCCTGTTTTTGTGGTATGGTCAATTTTATATTCATTGTTTTGTTGGATGAATCGTTTTTACGTTTATAAGTGATGATATTTTCCAAGGAGCTGCCAAGAATGGGTAACCCTATGGGCCCTGGCAATCTTAACATTAACATATATATCCGACGGCGAGTCCATAGGAAATAAATCCAAAGAAGTGCTCCAGCGGTCAAAAGCAAATTAATCGTTAGCATTATTTAAGTTCCTTAAACTAAACACTGAACACTTTATAAAAAAGGACACTCCGCTAGAAACTGTGCTTCGCTATAGAATGGTTTTTAGACTGATTTGCTCTGAAGCTTCGGTTGGGCCTTATATAGATATATGGCCGGGGTGCAGTTTATTTAATAATACAAATTAAACATGATTATCGCTATTATCTAGTTTAACAGGAAGTTTAACTGACCTAAGCCAGACTAACTTAAGGGTTATTCAAATGTAAAGTACATAGAACTCGCCTTCAATTATAAGTTGCGCCTGCTTAGCTTGAGCTAAACTTGTTTTTAAAGAAAATTTCTTTCCTAGCAGTCACACTGTCTATAGAGCACTTTATTTAAATCGATTCGGAGTATGAAAAAGATTAACCATCATTTTCCAGACAACCAAAGTTCATGCAAGCAAATAATTTGCTTGTGGACCAGATTGCAAATTGGCGCCCCAATATGCGGTATAAATAATAAAAAGTGAGGCCCGGCGGTCCCCAGTCCATTTAATTTTTCGTGTGGCTGTCGGTTTCATTAAAATGGTTTAAACGCCACCGAGAGGTCCATTTTGTTTGTGGTTTGTCAACCCAAAGGAAATTAAAGTGTGCAATTTACATTATGTTTTTTGGGGACTCGACTGTGGGCGTTTCCACGTGGGCGGGAATTCAGCAATGAAGAAGTGTCAGACATCGCCTGGAATTCTGACAGCTCGGTGTTGGAGGTCTTTGGGGGATTTTCGGAAAATTGTGTACAAGTCTGGACAATTTTCATTTGGGCTGAGGTTACACTGATTGCCTGTCATTATTTATAGATTGTCAATTGGGCTTATCTAGATCTTTTCTTATCTATGCAAAATAGTGAATGAAATAAATTAATTGAAAAAAGGTTTTTAAATAACTTACGTTTTCATCGGTGTTAATAACTACCTACGTCATTACCTGACTTCTAGATTTTAGAATAAATTATTATACAATAAAACAATTAATTCTAAAGCAGTTAATATTAAAACAAGCCCCTTTTTTCATATTGATTAATTGAAGAGTAATTAAAAAAGTATAATGCACTACAAATTTACTTTTTGACACTAGCCATTTAATTAAAATAATAGGTATTAGAAAATTGTTTTGTGTTACAAAGAAAAAAGTCAGCGCTTTAATACAATTTTAGTCATCATCATCACTTAATAATAATAAAATAATATTTTTTTTGCTGAATTTAAAGACACCTCAAACAACAATCAAATGTATGAATATACATTTATTGAACGCATATTTATTCGTTGCAATCTTGCTTCAGTAAAATCAATTAAGACACACTTAAAGCCTGTAAAATGTTCTGAGCACGTGTACACTCGATTTGCATATTCATCCTTGGCCAACAGGGCGCATTAATATTGCCAAAGGTATTTCTCCAGGGATTACGCATTAAAATTTTAAATGGAACTGCCCGTAAAAGGAGTAATACAGATGTCCCGGCCTCTGGCATATGAAAGACATTTTGCTCGGCCTATTTGATGAATGCATATAATTAAACTGCTGCATGCTGCATTAATTTACTGCCAGCGGTAAACAAATGAAGGCCGTAAATATCGAATTGAGTGACCTTTATATGAACTAAACAAAAGCCTGCAATTTCTCACAGAAATTGTTATTAATTTGATATGTAGTGGACAGTGCAATTCTGGCCAATGAAATGCCGTTGATTACGTTGATTGTTTAATTCGGGAAATTGCCAGGGCCAAATTAGCCATTATCTGCTGCCAGCTGATAATGCAAATGCATGTAAGTGTAATGGACAATTTATTACCCCATAAAGCCCAACTGGCCCACAGGGGCAGGTCCAGTCGAGTTGGCCCGTACGGACGGACGGACTCTGAAAACTTGGATGACAAGCCCGTCATGTGCAACATGTCAGCTTAATTATGCTTGGGTGGCAAGGGAGTGGGCGGGGTTATGTTGCCCGTTTGCGAAGGACTTTTGCACTGGATGAAAATAAATAAAGGATCAGAAAAAAATTGACAACAAACATGTGTGAAAAACGACATGATCAATTAAAAATAACCCAGAAATTATATTTTTAAAAGATTTGAGAATGATTTTATTTTTTTTTTCTATATTTATTTGTCCCAAGATTAAAAGCAAGAGATTGATGTATTCATGAGAACTAAAATATTCTTTCAAAAGAAATGAGAACATAAAAAAGCCAGGAACAATTATGTAAAACATAATAATTAGTGTTCTTAGTTTTTTTAAGAAAAAACGTTCTTGAAATCAAGAGGAAAGTACTCTTCAGCTTGGTTTTCGAGAAGAAGAAATCTCGATTTTGCACTTTAAGACAAAAGTATTTGAGATAATTGTGAGATTTGACTGTGATTTATTTAAAGACTAACTTTAATAACACCAGTTTACAAAAAAAAATTGATGAAATACGCCTTTCAGGAAACCTTTGTTTTCCGGTAAGATACATCTCCCTGATTAAGAAAAGGGCACTTAAAATTTTTTCTATGGTACCAATTTTTTTTAAAGTGAAAAAAACGTTTTTCGCACTTTTTTATTTTATAACTTGAGTTGTGATAAACCGAATTCGGTCATTAAGGACTCATTTTACAGGTAATAGAATGCCCTTTAACTTTCTTATACACATCGTTAAGTTCCATTCATTAGTTCAAAAGCTACACTTCGTCAAAGTTGAAAAATTTGGAAAAAAATCAAAAACGCTGGCATAAATGGCTTCTTTAAAAATACACGCGTAAAAACCGAAATTAGTTTTATGTTGTTTTCTTGATGGCTGAACCATAACGGAGAATATGCGCCATAGATCACGACAATCCGTTGGTAAATCGATTTTTAACAGATTTTTAAACGTATATACCCAAGTTCATTATTCGGGAGCAGCGGCCGTTAAACGTTATTTTAAATTTTCAGTAATGGGGAACGTAAGAATTTGGTGCAAGTTGTTATGCATAACGTCAGTTTCCTTGCTAAAAATATATGAAAATGATTTCCTCGTAACTGCAATCGCATACTCTTTAGCTTGCCCAGCGCTATAGCAAAGAAACTGACGTTATGCATAACAACTTGCACCAAATTCTTACGTTCCCCAACACTGAAAATTTAAAATAACGTTTAACGGCCGCTGCTCCCGAATAATGAACTTGGGTATATACGTTTAAAAATCTGTTAAAAATCGATTTACCAACGGATTGTCGTGATCTATGGCGCATATTCTCCGTTATGGTTCAGCCATCAAGAAAACAACATAAAACTAATTTCGGTTTTTACGCGTGTATTTTTAAAGAAGCCATTTATGCCAGCGTTTTTGATTTTTTTCCAAATTTTTCAACTTTGACGAAGTGTAGCTTTTGAACTAATAAATGGAACTTAATGATGTGTATAAGAAAGTTAAAGGGCATTCTATTACCTGTAAAATGAGTCCTTAATGACCGAATTCGGTTTATCGCAACTCGAGTTAGAAAATAAAAAAGTGCTAAAAACGTTTTTTACACTTTAAAAAAAATTGGTACCATAGAAAAAATTTTAAGTGCCCTTTTCTTAATCAGGGAGATGTATCTTACCGGAAAACAAAGGTTTCCTGAAAGGCGTATTTCATCAATTTTCTTTTGTAAACTGGTGTAATTAAATAATTTATAGTTTTGGAAACCTATACAATTTTCCAAAGTGTGGGGTGGGAAGTGCGATGCGGTGCAATGCAATTTATCAACAAGTTGGCGGCTTGGGGAAAACCGTTACGAGCTCCATTAGTGGCAGCCACTTAATGTCCCCTCTGCCCTTCTTCTCGCCCCTTCCACCACAGAGCCATTTGGAGAAGATAATTGAGAAGCCCAATCAACCAGCCGCCCGCGCCATCAAATCCGCCGATAGCTTCGAGGAGAAGGTAAGTCCACCTAAGGATTCCTTACAAACCCATTGATTCTCATATTTGTTTTTGGAAACCCCTTTCGATTGATCGAACAGAAAATGCGCAATCGTTTCACTGTGCTCTTCGAACTTGGTGGCGAATATCACGCTGCCAATGTTTCGAGGCCATCTATAACTGAATTGAGCACCTCTACTTTGGCCCAAATTGCTCAGTTTGTGGCCACCACCGGGCAAACAGTCAACATCTGCGATGTCCACGAGTGGGTCAGGGAACACAATCAGATTCGGGCTGAGGACGAAATAGACAGCACCCAGGCCATCCTCTGCATGCCCATTATGAATGCCCAGAAGAAGGTCATTGGAGTGGCCCAGCTTATCAACAAGGTTCATATTCTATTAATACTATTATAATTACTTATTAAAATTGGGGAAACGAAATCATTTGAATATTTGAACAGGCCAACGGAGTTCCCTTCACCGAATCGGATGCCTCGATTTTTGAGGCTTTTGCCATATTCTGCGGCTTGGGCATCCACAACACCCAGATGTACGAGAATGCCTGCAAGTTGATGGCCAAACAGAAGGTGGCTCTCGAGTGCCTCAGCTACCATGCCACCGCTAGCCAGGATCAGACGGAGAAGCTCACCCAGGATGCGATTGCCGAGGCGGAGTCCTACAACCTGTACAGCTTCACCTTTACTGGTAAGAAATTTTTAAAGATCTCAAGATCATATTAGAAAACCATGTAATTAATTTTATTCTATTTAAGACTTTGAATTGGTGGATGATGATACCTGTAGAGCAGTTCTTCGCATGTTTATGCAGTGCAATCTGGTATCTCAGTTCCAAATACCATATGATGTAAGTGCTATATTATTGTCAATATAATATAATATAATTTTTAAATCTTTCTAAATAACATAAAATAAGCTGTAGTCCCTAAAATCCCATACTTATTTGTATTTTCATTGTATAATAACAACTTTTTAGGTCCTCTGCCGCTGGGTGTTGAGTGTTCGGAAGAACTATCGTCCTGTGAAGTACCACAATTGGCGGCATGCCCTTAACGTGGCCCAAACAATGTTTGCCATGCTAAAAACTGGAAAGATGGAGCGCTTCATGACGGATCTGGAGATTCTGGGCCTGCTGGTGGCCTGTTTGTGCCATGATTTAGACCATCGTGGCACCAACAATGCATTCCAAACCAAAACAGAATCTCCACTGGCTATTTTGTACACTACCAGCACAATGGAGCACCATCACTTCGATCAGTGCGTAATGATACTTAATTCGGAGGGAAATAACATATTCCAGGTAAATACATTTCTTATTATATATAATAAAAAAAATATATTAAGCAATCTACTCGAAACTAAGAATCAAATAAAATTAGTCTATCTATAAATCGTACTTGTTAAAACAGCTTTGCTATAAAATGACCAAAAAATTACAGAACTCTTTTATGTTTCGTTTATAACTTGTAACATTTTATTTAAAAAATTTAAACATGATTCAGCCTAACGACGAAGAACACGAGCTTTGCGGTTCTTGGACTTTTTGTTGAGTTTTCGGTAGCCAGAGGACTTTTTGTTGCGTCTGAGGGCATTTTTAAGGGCCTTGCGAGCCTTGGCACGGGCGCTCTTCGATTTGGATTTGGTGGAACTGGCGGTGGTGGCCACCCTGATTTTTCTCTTGATCGAGTATGTCAGATTGCTCATACGAACGATCTTAGCGTTATCAGCCGAAGTGTAAGAAGAGGTCGCCTCGGTGGTAGTGCTGGTGGTGGCCTCCGTGGTGGTAGTCGTTGTGTTATCTGCAGTCCTCACTTGAGCCACATACAACACCATCGAAAGGACGAAGAGAACGAGAGACAACTTCATGTTGGATGCTTCAATTGTAAACTGATATGCTTTCTGCTCAGAAATTGGCATTTTTATACTATCCAAGATTGGCTGGCGACCTTCAACTAGCTGAAAACATAGTTTACCGAAATATATTTGAATTAAATCCACCTTGACTCCGATAAGTGGTGAACTTATGTTTAGGCACATGCCTAATTCTAATGTGACGTCATGGGTACAGGTGTTTTTTGGGATAGCAATTTAAGATGAGAATAAGCAATCTTAGCTTTTTGTCTGCGAACTTAACTTTGTGTTTGCTTTCTTTTCAGGCTTTGTCACCTGAGGACTATCGCTCTGTAATGAAAACTGTGGAAAGCGCCATCCTGTCCACCGATCTGGCCATGTATTTCAAGAAGCGAAACGCTTTCCTCGAGTTGGTGGAAAATGGGGAGTTCGATTGGCAGGGCGAGGAGAAGAAGGATTGTGAGTACACATACTTGTCATACTCTTCACTATGTTCTTAAATTTCAATTAAATTTAAATTTCAACTCTATTCTATCCGTTCCCTTAATTCTAAAACAAACTTTCTATTAATATTATTATTTTATTAAAAGTAACACTTATAATACTTCTTAATTCTATTATTTTTAGTACTTTGTGGCATGATGATGACTGCCTGCGATGTGAGTGCCATCGCCAAGCCCTGGGAGGTTCAGCACAAGGTGGCCAAGTTGGTGGCCGACGAGTTCTTCGACCAGGGAGATCTAGAGAAGCTGCAGCTCAACACGCAACCAGTGGCCATGATGGACAGGTGAGTCACCTTAGATGCCAAAGAAATCATAGTTCCTAATTTTAAACCATTTTTAGGGAGCGCAAGGACGAGCTACCCAAGATGCAGGTGGGATTCATCGACGTTATCTGCCTGCCGCTTTACAGAGTGCTCTGCGACACTTTCCCCTGGATTACTCCCCTCTACGAGGGCACTCTGGAGAACCGACGCAACTGGCAGGATCTGGCCGAAAAGGTGGAGATGGGCCTCACCTGGATCGATCACGATACGATTGACAAGCCGGTGGAAGAGTTTGCCGCCTGTGCGGATGAGGAGATCAAGGACATCGAGTTCACGGTGACCACTCTCAACTGCAATCAGCAGTCCCAGCATGGCAGCGAGGATAGTCACACGCCGGAGCACCACCGAAGTGGCTCCCGGTTGAGCATGAAGAAGACCGGAGCCCTGGGCAAGGCAGTGAGATCCAAGCTCTCCTCGAAGCTCTACAACAGCATGGACGGCTCGAAGCCCAAGACATCGCTCAAGCTCCTGGAGTCCCATGTCAGCGAGGATATGGACGACAAGAGTCCCACGAGTCCTTCGCAGCCGCAGGCCTCTGGCAGCATGGGTCGCATGTCCGCCTCATCCTCGACCTCGTCGGCCGGCGGTCAGATGGTGGACAAGTCCAAGAAGCGATCCAAACTGTGCGCGTTGTTATGACGAAAGCCCTCCAATTAGAATATGGCGACTCCCTCCAGCTCGACGGGCAGTGAGACTGACCACAAGTGCGGAGGGGGGATGACCGAGTTCTAATTGGATTTTGGGTTTGGAAAATTCACAGAAACTTGTTGTGCTCTACCTGTATATATTACAGTGTTTAGGGTTCGATTTCGATTAAATTTGAGCAGAGTTTTTACTGATGAAACTATAGTTTTTGTATAACACCAAATACTGATTAAATCATAATTTGTCCTATTTAATTTTATAAAAATAAACAGTAGTTTTGGTTACCATTGTGATAATAAACTAATATTTTATCAAAAAATATTTTCAAAAGAAATACGAACTATTAAATTATTTTTTTTAAACTTTCTAGTTATTTAAAGTTTTTTCATAACAACAACAAATTGGAATCCATAAAAGTATAATTTCATCAACAAGAACCCCACCAAATTCAATCGAAGCCGAAGACAAATGCAGGGGTATATGTATATGTTTGAAATATGTTTTAAGTACTATAACTATCCATATACAAGCGGATGAGCATTAAGCAGAAGCAAATGCAGTTGCAATATTAAGCATAAGTGAATGTCAAAATATGTGATCTATTTAAGGTCCCGAAGGTGCGAAGCCCCCGGGTTGAACCTTTTGTCGGATACTATCCTTTCTCTCTATCTCTCTGTCTTTCGCTTTTAGGTGATTGAAAAACCGCGAAACTAAACTAAACAAACTAAGTAGATCCAATCCAACCAACTAGCTAAGAGTGTACGTAGTTACTCCAACCAAATCGTGCTAGTCAAACGTATGAAATACTATATGAAAACTACCTAGTTAAGAATTTTTGAGGCTATAGTCCAGGCATCGGACATCAGGAGTCGGTAGGGAAAGGGATAGGGATCACCACTAGTCCTCGCCTGTGATCGATCGGCTTGAAATCTACTTTATAGCTAACTAATATACATATATGTACGCACAGAGGCGTGTATTTACGTAGCAAACTATAGCAATATTATATGATATTTCCCACACGATTGTGAGCACAGCACAAATATTGAGAAATCGAACAAAAGGCAGAAGACAGCAACTGTGCTGTGTTTGATTGTATAAATATAAATATTAGCTTAAAGATACACAGCAGTCAATTTTTGAACTCGAACTCAAACAAAATACGAATACTATAGATATTTGGCATATATTCGCACTCGGTCAATACGAATAATCCGGTCCCACACTCTCCTAGTTGTTGCAATCAAGTTTACTTTATCTGTGTGTACGTGTACAAAGCAAACTATATACTATAGAGCATAAATATAAACTAAATAAATATAAATATACGGAAACTATATAAAATATTTACATGTGACTAATGTAACTATAACTGAATTGCTTAGAATTAATGTGTTTAAGGGCATCTCGTTTAATTTTTTCATTGGTCTGTGTGTGCTAATCAAATTCGGCTAAAAAAAATGTCAACAAAAATAAATTTTGAAAACTATTTTTCTAGTTACTCTGCCGCTCGCTTCAGAATCAAAATCCAGACAACTTTATCAGCCGTTTCGAACCTTTTTCTGGATTCAGTTGTGACAATTAATTGTGTATATTTCTCGACAGTTTCGTTGCTTGTTTCTGTTCCCCAACGATCTATGAATTATTCACATTTGTTTACCTAACTATGTAAGACTTGCAATTAAATCAAAAATAAATCACACCATTGAGAATTACTCTAAAACAAAGTGTTATATTTTGAAGGGGTCGGGTTTTGTGAAGATATGTATAAACTCAATGGTTTTTGAAAAAGAATGCCTTGAAATTCAAATGATTACTAAGCCGTTTTCTTAATCTTACTATTAAACTAAAATTTAAATTTGGCGGTTAACTTAACGCAGTGTTGAGTAACGCGTATCGCTACGGTTACCTATCGTTATCGGGTTCAGAAATCAGCTGTTGGAATACAAAACAATAACACGTGAAATCTTTAAGAAGTAAATAAATATATTTTTGAAGTAATTTAAGAAGGATATGTCCTTTCCCAGTGAAGCCTCATCAGCCTCTGAGCACGAGGCCAGCAGTGATGATGAAACCCAGGTAAAAATTATCCATATAAGCATAGAACTGCTTTATAAAACACCATTTTCAGAATGCCATTCGGGAGGATCTCAAAGGAATGTCCTTTGAGGAGATAATGAAGCTCAAAGAGGAACTGGGCGCCAAGGTGTACAAAGAAGCCGTTCTCGGAGGCAAGAGCTCCAGACCCCAGAAACCCAAAACCAAAACCGACCTGAAACGCCTAAACAAAAATCGACCCCGTGAAATGAGCACCCGACGACAGGTTCCATTTCTGGGAGCAGAACACCGGGTGGAGCGTAAGAAAACCGTAGAACTCCGAGATCCACGCTTCGACGAGAAGTCGGGATCATATAATGCGGAGACCTTCAAGAAGAACTACCAGTTTGTTGCCCAAATTCGCTCCAAGGAGGTTGGTCAGCTGAAGAAGCAACTGGACGAGGTGGAGGATGATGAGGAAAAGCACAAAATAAAGGACACCATGCAGCGATTGATTAACAAGAATGTGGAGGACAAAAAGTGGCACACCAAACAGAAGCAACTCAAAAAGGAGCGTGCTACCATTCAGAAGAAACACAATTTAGGACAGCAGCCCCACTATCTAACAAAGAGTATGTCTCTAAAACTAACTTGGAATTTCAGTCATTAAAATATTCCTTTCTCCCCCACAGAGGAGCGCCGTGCCAAGGAATTAGTGGCCCAGTTTGAGAAGCTGAAAAACGAGGGAAAACTCAACAAACACCTGGAAAAGCGCCGCAAGAAGAACGCCGCCAAGGACCGCAAACGCATTGGCATAGAATAGGGTTTTCACTTTAAGTATAAATGTATTTTTAACAATTAAAAGCACTGTGCAAAATAGCAAACCTAGCCCGTGCGCAACATCTTGGCCTCCCGCTTCTCCTGCAACTCGCGCCGTTGCTGTTCCACAATAGTCTTGCGCTCCTCCAGGAACTCTCCATAGGCCGCCGGATCTATTTCCTTGACCACCTTGATGCCACAGGTCCGGGCAATGCTGATGAGCATCTCACACATTTGCTGTAAGAAAACGAAAACGTTAAATGGTTAAATGGTTAAGAAATACTTGGAGGAAATAGAATATTCGAATCGAGGAATCAAAGTTTCTTGGTTTAATACAGATTATTGATATAAACAGATACATTTTTTAGATTGAAATGAGTTGTACATTCAAAATAGAATGTAGGAATGGGCCTAATACCGTTTGGTGTAAGGAGTAAGGAGTGTAATTCCAGTTGTAGGAAGATATACTATGGATAGTACATCGAATGAGTAGGTGTTTCCAGTTTTGGGAAGACATACCTGCATGGTGAGCAGGGCATTGGGTGGATCCTGGATCTTGATCGCCGCAATCTCGTACAAATGCTTGAGGGTGATCATGCCGGCGACTTCCTTGCCGGGCGTCATGGTGCCCCTTTGGATGCCCGCCGCCTGTTTCAGGAAGAAAGTGGCCGGCGGATGATGGATGACCAGGTCGTAGCTGCGATCGCTGTTCACGGATATCCGGCAGGGCAGTGGGACGCCCTCCTTCTTTTCCGCGGTCTTGGCATTGAAGTCCTTGCAAAAGGCGGCAATGTTAATGGCTCTCTGGGGGATAAAGAATGGGACATAGTTAATTAGATATAAAATTTATTGCCGGCGAACTCACCTGTCCCAACATCGGTCCCAATGGCGGGCCTGCAGCGGCCATTCCCGCGGGAATATTAGTCTTCAGCTTGCTCGTGTGCGTCACACGATCCACTGTCTTCTTCAGGGATTTCAGTTTGCCCGCCGCCTTGGACATTTTAATTGATTTTTTTTAACTAAACAATTGACTGCAACTGTTATGCAAAGCGAAATGTGTTGGTGGGAGGAAGAAGAAGCAGCAGCAACAGCTGTGACAGTGCTGGTGAACTAGCTATAAATAGCTAGATGGTATTTGAAGTTTATTTCCGGTCTCTGCCAAATTAGATAATAAAATTTTGAAACAAGCAGGCTTTTGAATAGTAGTACTATTTGAGCATCTGATAATTCGATTGCCTTCTTTCCAATGAAAGCTGTTTAAATGCCCAGTAGCCAAATTCTCGTGAAGAAAAGCCAAACGTTCACCTCTAATGCGAAGAAGAAGCATCGCGGCCAACAGCTGTTCGCACTGCCTATCGCCTATCGATAGCCGTGGGTGTCGCAGCAGGCAGCTTTTGTGGCAGTGTGCCAAATTGAAAACAGCTGCCAGCTGAGAAGTGAGAAATTAAATAACAATAACAAACTAGAAATAATCACAGAAATCGATGGCTTTGCGCGGTTCACACCGCCTGGAAGTGATTCTCAGGCGCTGCCTGGCATCCCCGGTGCTTCACGGCCATGCCCCCAAGCGGACGAGCAGCCACGTAACGATTAAAGACGACGATCCAAAAAGTAACAGTGACAGTGGGCAAGATCGGCAAAATGGCGGGCAAAAAGAGAAGGGCTGGCGGAGATTGGTGCGCTTCTTTGTGCCCTTCTCCCTGGGCGCAGTGGTCAGTGCGGTGGTTATCCAGCGCGAGGATCTCACGCCCACGATCGCCGCCTCGAAGATGAGCGGCCGGCGGCGGGACTTCAATTTTATAGCAGATGTGGTGGCGGGATGTGCGGACTCGGTGGTCTACATCGAGATCAAGGACACCCGCCACTTTGACTACTTCAGCGGCCAGCCGATCACGGCCTCCAATGGCTCCGGTTTCATCATAGAACAGAATGGCCTCATCCTGACCAACGCCCATGTGGTGATCAACAAGCCGCACACGATGGTCCAGGTGCGCCTGTCCGACGGCAGAACCTTTCCCGCCACTATCGAAGACGTGGATCAGACCTCCGACCTGGCCACGCTACGCATACAGGTGAAAGACTTCTTCAATCCACAGAAAAAAGTGTATTTCATGACCTATCTTTACAAACAGGTCAACAATCTCTCGGTGATGCGTCTGGGCAAGAGCAGTACCCTGCGTTCCGGCGAGTGGGTGGTGGCCCTGGGCAGCCCGCTGGCCCTGAGCAATACCGTGACCGCTGGCGTCATCAGCTCCACGCAACGTGCCTCTCAAGAACTTGGCCTTCGCAACAGGGACATCAACTATCTGCAAACAGATGCTGCCATCACCTTTGGCAACTCCGGCGGACCCTTGGTCAATCTGGACGGCGAGGCCATTGGGGTTAACTCGATGAAGGTGACCGCTGGCATAAGCTTCGCCATACCCATTGACTATGTGAAGGTCTTTCTGGAGCGGGCTGCAGAGCGGCGCAAGAAGGGCTCGGCCTACAAGACCGGCTATCCGGTGAAGAGGTACATGGGCATCACCATGCTGACGCTTACGCCGGACATCTTATTCGAACTCAAGTCAAGGAGCCAGAACATGCCCAGCAATCTTACGCACGGCGTGCTCGTGTGGAAGGTCATCGTAGGATCACCGGCGCACAGGTTGGTCAATACCTGCATATTTTATACCTCAGAAGGATTTTGAAAGATATCAGAAGCTACAAATGCAAAAATTAACCCATAAATTTTCCCCATCTCCATTCCAGTGGTGGCCTGCAACCCGGCGACATAGTGACCCACATCAACAAGAAGGAGATCAAGAACTCCTCGGATGTGTACGATGCCCTGGCGGACAATAGCAAAAACCTGGACATGGTGATCCTGCGAGGCGTAAAGCAGATGCATGTAACCATAACGCCAGAGGATCCCTAATGAAACCTGCAAGCCGCACCTGTATGCCTCCATCTACGACGATATATCGCGTTCGCCTGATTTGCAATATACATATATATATATATTTGTAAGAGAAACAGACCGATCCTGGGAAGAAATCGCTGACAATCCCACCCCACACACGCTCCTATTCCAAATCGAGTGCCTGCCTATATTTGTCTCTGACTAACGAGTAGGGAAATTTGCATAGATCGCCGGCTCGTTATCAGCGGGCATTATTAACGGCGACACGACCATAAGTTAATCTACGCATCGTACGGCACAAAAATGTATCTCCGACTGGGTCGATTGGGTCGTCTGTCCGTTTCTGTTTCCGAACATCATCGATTTCTCTTTCATGGAGCGCTGTGCGTGTCCCCGTCCATCCGTCCGTCTGTCGGTCCGATTGTCCCCATCCAACAACGACAAAAATGTATTTACGCTAATTGAAATATCTTGCGTTGCGATCAATCGATGCCATATTTTTTATAGGCCAAACCTCGGCGGCGCAGAAAATGCAGCAGCGGGGCAGCAGCAGCAACATCAGCCGCGAAAACGTCGAAAACCGAAATGCAAATTTCAATAAATTTATGCAACTGTATTCCCAGCGCTTCGCTTGGCCCCAGCTGTTCTTACCCTCGATTGGGGTACTTCAAATATGTGTTTAAGGTTGGCCAAGAAAGAAATGATGTTCTAAATTAACTATAAATTACATTAAAGGAGATATGTCTATTCGCACCCCTTAAATAAGACATTAGCAAACAATGTTACATATATTAAACTAAAGAAATTTTATTTTTAAATGTAATCTCTATTGCTTTTTATGTACATAACAAAGAGGTATACTCATTTCTTATAAACAAGCCAAAAGTAAATGATTTTTTGTAAAATAAATTGATGTGTTTTCTTACTTGTTCTATTTCAGTTTGATAATAATTAAGATTTTATGTTTTAAATTGATATATATTTTAAGCGAGCATGCAAAAATCTATGTTTTTAAAAATAATAGTAGAAGTTTTAAATGATGAAAATTTATAAAAACGAAAATATCAATTTCTTATCATTGTAAATAAGTTTTTAGTGTACCCAAACTTCGCATAGATAGGTTAAGATTCCTTTTCCCCCGGTTTATTTGTGGGTGACAAGGCATACGATGCCGATGATGTTGTTGCCGCTGCTGCTGTCGTTGCGTGAAAAGTGAAATTCTTGCGATTATTAATTTTGTTTTCGCTTTTGGCGCTTTTGGGGATGCTACGCTTTTTAGTTTCTGCATATAAATTCACATATTGATTCGGACGGACTGTGCCATTGTGGCTGGGTTGCCGTGGTTGTTTATGTGACAGCGGCCTTTATGACATTGTTGGCACTAAGTTACCTTTATTGCTTATAAGCCGCACGCATAAATGCAGCTTAAAGTTCATAAATTTGCCAATATTCACTCGGCGAGGGGTTAAGCAAACGGACCTCTCCTCTGCGATCGTGTAAACACTTTTTACTTTATTCGCTGGCGCCCCACGCTTTTGGCACTTTCTTTCTGCCATTTCAGCCATCTCGGCCTTTCGTTTCCATTTCGGTTTTCAATCTGCCATCTGCCATCCGCACTCTGCGCCAGCTAATTGAAATATTTAAAATGCATAAAAGTATCGCATTTAAACTTTGCAATTAGTTTGTGGTGATCGCCGCAGTTTGCCGTCGTCGTGGGCTCGGATATGTATATGTTGTAAATGTTGTAGTCGCCGGCTGTTGTGGGGCGCTTAAATTACAAACCTGTGAGAAATTTAGTCGCTGATTTGGTTGCTTTTGCCAGCGACTTAGTTGAGCCATACACTAGGGAAATGATGGGCAATGCGACTACTAAAAGTCCTAATAAAATGGCTAAAGAAAGTTAATTAGGTTAGCCGTCAGCAGTAGGGTTTATATACCCTTTTTCTTGTTATTTCAAGAAAATATAGGCATATAGCTCAGGGTTCTCAAAGAAAAATTATTCAAATAGATTTATAATAATTACAAAATAAAAGAAAAGAGATTTAAAGAAGCTTTCTAACTTACTATACTAGTTTATGAAAACAATTTTACCTCTAAAGTATTAAAATTTCATTTTTATAAGAGCGTTTATTTTAAGTGAAAAATAAAATTGGTTAGTTTATTAAATTTATAAAAACGTTCTTTGAAGGTAGACAATTTTTATAAATTTAGGAAATAAATTAGAAAAGTCTAATTTAATTTTTTCTAATTTATTTTCTAAAGTAAGAAACTATAAAATTCTTTTAATTTATTTTCTAAATTTAGAAAAATTGCATGTCAATTTAAATCAATGGAAAATGGAAAGTTCTAGGCAATATTTAAAAATTGATGTTTAAATTATTTATTATATAGTAAAAGTGTAAAAGGGCATTTTGCCCACCATTGGGACCCCCTTACAATTCGCGGACATTGTTGTGAATTAAGATCACAAAGTTGCCTTTGCGGTGAGCAGCGTTTTGTGGCTGTGATCATGTTCACACGCTGCGGCCGTAAGGCTGAAAAGCCAAAGGCGGTACGGTAAGTGTCGTGATTTGGCCGGGCTTACACTTTCATAAAGGCGGCAATTAATAATGGAGCTGGTCAAAGGCCCGGCCAGGCAGATCCATCAATCGAACACGTTTTGACGAGGGTCGTTTGGAGGTTTGAAAATTTGGCGATTTCGATTGAGTTATTAAACGTGCGCTTAATTGCAGCCACTGACACTTTGGGTCAAAAGTCTGCAAATTGTCGCATTAACCCAGAAATGTCAGAGTGAGGATCTTTTTGTGTTTTTCCTTATTTTTCTGGTCTTTATTTCTTTTTTTTTTGGGCTGACCCCATCAGACACCTAAATCAACGACTTTCTCGTGCGCTGTTCCCATGAACTGCTCACATTTAAACATATTGGCAGGCGCATTGGAAAAGTGCACAAAGCAAAAAGCCAGCCAAACACCTACAACTTTTGCAATAGCAACAACATTAAAGTTCATGACACACAACTGTAAAATGTTTCAGTCAGGAAAAGCAAAAAAAAATGGGAAGAAAAAACTTTTACCGCCGATAATAAATGGCTGCGACTTTGCGCCCCCAAAAGTTCAAGACATCATCGCCTCGTCCCGCATGTGAAAAGTTCTCCTCGAAAGACGGACAGATGGACACCGAGGCAACTTGGATCCATGGACAGGAAGTCAAAGGCTGGCCAGGTATACACTCTAAAAAAACAGAACGTTCAGATTTAATACCAGTTGTTTTGGAAGTATACCAGAAACAGTGTAAAAATGGAAGTATAGATTCAAACCTAAATAACATAAAGTCTATACCTTACAATACAATTTCTATCTTTAGGAGTCTAGATGGATTTGTGGTATTATCTCAAAACCAACTAATCTCAATATACAATCGAAAAGTTAATTTAATACTCATCATATTCCCGCCAAATTGATACTCAATAGTTTAGAATTAATATGACTATTTCTTTTCGGTGTAGATGGAAACAAAGCCAAGAGCAAGAGATCTCGAGCCCGATGGCCAATCCACTGGTCCAATGCCACGGGCCATAAATCACTCGAGTATGCCAAAAGTTACATAATAATTCTGCGCTGATCATCTTCGGCTTGGCGGCATTAATCAATAATAAATAAAGCCATCGTCATCAATCCGTTGTCCAAATTGAAATGTGTTTTAATGTGCCATTTTATTTCTCCCACATTATTAAAGTTGAATATATTTTTTGGGGGCCTGGCTCGATTGCCTTAAATCAACAGATTCATAAAAATGAAAAACACGGAAAAATTATGATGATTACGCGGAAATGTGTGGCAACTGTGCTTTTTTACTTCGTGGCCACTGGGCTAAAATGCTTTATGAAATTGCACAAGTGTGTTGGCCATTTGCTGAATTATGGCGCCCAGGTTTTTCCCCTCCTTATTTTTCATTTTTCTATATTTTTCTTTGGATTTTGGGTCGCCGCAGGGCGCTGTTGCATTGCAGTTTTCATTAAACGCTTGGGAAACTGTCCAACTGGGAGACCAGTGGGTCGGAGCCAGGCTTTTTGTGGGTCAGTTTACACATCTGGCTTTTGGCTCGGTTTTGTAGTGTTGGTCAAATATTTGCTCCGGCGCAAAGAGTCATCATCATTAATAACGATGGAAATTTCACCTGCTGGAAAAGCGTTTTGCGCACTGCTATTGCCTTCCAATGTTTATGTTTTCTTTATTTAGGCAAATCCATCAATTACGCTCGAGTGTGCAGTATGTATGGCCCACTGGGAACTGGAAGCCATTTGTTTGCTGGCTCGGAAAACGCTGTCGAGCGTGACGAAAACATGCTTCTAATCTGGCCCAGCCGAACTGGCAACTTTTCGATTCGATCTGTCCCCGAATTGATTGATTTGTCAGCGGCCGGCCACTGACAATCCCACAAATCCCAAGATTTATGTCCAGTTTTAATGGCCAGATGTCTTCTGACCATTTTCAGACAAATTATGCATGGGATTTCAAAGCCGATGTAATATTGAAATGATGTCATCGCGGCGATCAGTCGCTAAATAGAGATAAATTTCAGATGGATAAGCACTTGGGAATTGTGAGGTATATATTTTTTACTTTATTTTTAATTTTAAATATTGTTTTAAAAAAATCTTTTCCCTTGCCTACGATTAATTTTTGCAAAGGCAAAGCCAAATGGATTTTTCGTTATTTTTATCTTATGAATATCGATAATATTTAACTTTTAAAATACGGTAGCTCTCAAAAATACAGTCTCTTGAAAACAATTAAAATGCAATCTATCACCATTAAGATCACTTTTTCTTTCTGTGTGGCTAAGGCGGCCACAATGATTACAGAGTAGAAATCGGGCCACCTGAATCATTTAATTGTTGCGATTTTTCACAAAATTGAAACATCTTCCGGCATGGAGAGCCGAGACAAACGATGTGTGCACCGAAATTAGTTTTTCGCATGTTGCCTGGCCCGAGGCGTGAAAAGATTTTCGCATGCAAGGTGCGGCGGTATCTGCAATAAAAACAAAAACTGAAGCTTAAGCGGTAGAAACAACAGCACCTGAAATAACAAAAACAACAAGGAAAACAGCCACTGGCAGCGCGGCAAGTGTTGCTCTAATTTATAAAATGTTTTTTGCTACCAACTGAAAAGTTGCTGAAAACCAACAAAAAATCCAGAAGAATGATCAACACTTCGATACCCTAAATAAATTAAATATTATAATATTATTTATATTATTTAGCCCATGCTTCGTATTTTTAAAGCTGTGAAAAGGAGACCATTAAGTAAAATGTTGGGGTATTTCTGAAGGCTAGAAGGTCATTTATAAAGACTGCATTTAATAAAGAGGAAATCAGGATTATGAACAACATAATTTCATAGTTATTTAGTTATAAGATATTTTTAAAATCAGTCTAGCCTTATAGTGGTTAAATGCTCTATTTTATGTAATGAATAAGAAATGATAGATCCTTTTTTTCTACAAATCTAAAACTCCTATGAAGTTTAGACTTACTAGCCCAGGCAATCTTTCTCTAAGTCGAGGGTATTCTCCACAAATTAATTGCCTTGCGGTTCTCACACACTCACACTCTTCGTAGGCATGGCAGAAATTTCACTTCTATAGAAATTCCGGAGCTCGACGATCGCAGAGCCTGGGGCTTTTCTTTCACACTTTTTCCCACTGCCGCCGCTGCTGTCACTTGCTTTAGTTGCTGATGTTGCTGCTGTTGATGTTGCTGCTGCTGCTGCTGTTGATGTTGCTGCTGCTGATGTTGCTGCTGCCATTGCCATTGCCTTTGTTTATTACGCATGACACGCCACACTCGCCCACCCATCATAAATGCCGTCACATGTTTTAATTAAATGCCAGCTCAGCGAGGCCTTAAAAACTTTATATTTCTTGTGCCATTAATTGAAATTACAAAGCAACACGATAATATCCGTCTGTCAGCCAGGCACTTTTTTGTTTTGTTTTAGCAATAATTTTTATTTTTACTATTTATCCAAAGATGTTACCACGTTGACAATGCGTCGGCAAAATGGGGGAGCGACTTTCACTGCCTTTAAGCACGGAAGGTAAGTTTATTGCCCATCCGCCAGGTAGTTCGGATTTTATGTTCTATTGGGGCCATAAAGCAGGCCAGTAAAACATATTCCACGGTTCGATGGGCTGTCGATGGATTTCTGTTGTATCGATGGTTCAAGTTCGTTGCTTGAGTCTTTTGTTTCATTACCGGGTGCGAGGAAAAAAGAAAATAAATAATGTGTCTGTGCGTGGGCCAGTCCCATCGAACCACTTTCGTTGCTGCCATCAATCAATTGCCAATTGCTAATGCAAATTGAATGCTGTTTTCATAAACAACATCCAAATACACGCGAAATGTCATTAATTTCAGCGGCGCAGCGCCAGAAAAAGCTCGACCAAATCAAGTCGAGCATTTGTCTCATCGCTTAAACATTTCAATTTCACTCGCAGCGCGCAGTCCGTAGTTTCTTTTATTTATGGCTACTAAATTACGTATCCGTGCTGTGGTCCCGATGCCGGCCAGGCTTTGATTAATGATCTCGCCCGGCACACTGACTCAGAAAGCATTGGAAAATCGCTGGGATATATGGTGTATGGTGTATGGGACATGGGAGTGGGGAGCACGGGCAGTACGGGTGGCTTGTGGAGTTGTATCGCATCGGATTGGAGCGGAACTGGGCCCACTAACGATACAAATGTACCGCTATCGCCGCACAGTAGTCGCTGTGACACGAAAGTCGCCAAGCACACGCTAATCAGGTTAATTGTCTCTCAATTTCCTGCAACTTGCCGCAAATGCATTTCAATGAGCTGCCAATTTGCGCGGGAGGCAATGAGATGCTGGAAAAGGGTGAGAAGGTACACTGAGGGAAAATGTTGATAGAAATATTAAAAAAAAAAAGATATCAAGAACATGAAAAATTGTTTATATGAAATTAGGATTCTAGCTGATTCGAAACCATTGCCCAATTACCTTTTATCAAAAATTTTCTGGGATAAATCTAAATAACAGTTTAAATATTTTAAAAAAGATTTGATAAGCCCCTAAAGAATCCTAAATCAATTCTATATAAAAAAAAAACGATTTGAAATACTTCTAGCTATCTTGAAGATCTCTTGTTGAGGTCAAGGAACTGATCTTTGAATCTTATCCAGACTTTGTAAAATGGCTTTTATAAGAAATATTTTAATCCTACATTAAATATATTAATATATGCATTTTTTTTAGAATACATTTTTCACCGTGCATTTATTCTGCGACAGAGACGTTTTGGAAAAGGAAAGCCAACTTGAGCCACCTCTGAATTACGGCAATTTGAAGGCAGCAAAAACTGCAAGGCCGGCAAAAAGTGCATCAGCATTAACGAGCTGTTCATATTTCAGTCGTTTATCTCTCTCACCCGGCGAAAATCCTTAAAGAAAAATGCACATATTTAACTAATGATGGCCACTTAACACAAACCCCGCGACAAATCAACAGAAATACGCTTCATAAAGTCGCCGGTGTACCCAACTTTCCCAGACATTCGGTCGACAGTTTGGCGTGGGTGAGCAACGAACAATATTGTACAGGTATATAAAAATATAAACATAAAAATTATTAAATGCCTTGCTGATTATGCGCAGGCAGATCCGTGGATCCGTCGGATTCGGATTCGCTGGGGAGATGGCTCGTTTGGGCCGTGGGTTTGTTTGTCCGTCTGTTTATCTGTTTATTTGTTTGTTTGTTTGTTGTGCTTGCTGATGATGTTACCCCCCAGCAGCAGATGTTGCACAGATGCAGATGCAGATGCCTCTGCACCTCCGCTGATGACAACAACAATAATATTGTTAATGATAATGCTTATGAGTTTTCCTTGTAACTGCCGTCTGCTTTTCTGTTGGTCGAGTGATAAACGTTGTGCATGTGCAATTAGTAAATGTGTTTCACAAAAAGCCAAGGCAGCCAGGCAGTATATTTGAAAGAAAAATATCGAAAAGCTTTAACAGGGGACACAACTGTTGCCGGCCAACTTTCCATCACATTTCACATTTGGACTGGCAAACGTATTGACAGTTGCAAATCAAATCGTACATTTGAGTGCATAATCTACATATAAATTATGGATATCCATTCGGCCCGCTCCCCGTTTCCCTGGCCATCGATGAGATCCATTTCCCGCTCCAGTTTGCTGAACATGTCTTTCAGAGCTTGTTCAGTGAATCATGGCAAACATTTCGCGGAAATCGCAACCAGCCACAACAATAACAACATGAGTAACAAGCACCTAAGAAAACAAGAAAGAAAGGCTATCTTGGGGAATTCGGATCTTCAAATACGCTTACCTTAAAAGATAATATAAGTTAAAGGGTACCAAGGAAACAAGAGTTTTTATTTTCATGAACGTTTCATCTTTTAATCGAATGAAAAACAAATTTAAAATGTTACTATTTCTTTTGATACTTTGTTATTAAGGTATTAAATTAGTGTTAGTATATTTCACAACTGTTTTGCAATCTCCTGAATTAGACTTCAGAAAAAGCTAGAATAAATTGTAAATTCTTGAGTCGCCATCGATGATTCATTAATTTAGTAGGAAAATTACGTAATGCTGTAAGCACCAAGAAAAATAATAACACCCCCATTAAGGGTATTTAAAGCCGGAGAGTCGTGTACTTTCCAAAAGCCTGGCTACATTTCATTTCATTGCGACTCATTTCATTTAGTTAGATATCATTGGCCGTCCCAGTTGGCTGGTTAGTCAGCACTTTGCATTCGATTCAATTGGCAGTTCGATGAGCAGCGAATTAACCCAAAATCAGGGGTTCTAGAACACAAGATTGAGGCTCATAATCCTGAGGCCAATACTCTATTGACTTAGTTTCTTCAGGCAGCACGTGCTGGCCAATAATGAAGATACATGGCCAACTGGGCTGGCTTGGCCTAACCATTCAAATGGCAAATTGAAATGCCAACTTGTGTGGCTCTGGCCGATTGCAATCAGCTGGCTCAGTTTGTCTTCATCAGCTGCAAAAATAAGTTAATTGCTTGGCCAAGACAAAGTTGTAACTACTTCGAGTTGGAGTTGGAGTTGGCTTAGTGGCACTCCGGTGGGGAATTGGAAATGGAAACCCAGCTCCGTGACAAGGTCAACAACCTTCTTTCGCCTTGATTAAGACATTTTATGGTTGCGGTCCAGTGGATATGGGTTTCGGAATGGGAATGGGAATGCCGGTGGAAATGGAGGCGGGATCGGGATCGGGAACGGGAATGCGAATGCCAATGCCAATGAATGGGGCTTTCTTTTGTGGGGCGGTCGGGGCTTTGAAATGTCGAACAAATGTTTTAAACTGCATGAATTGGCGTTATTTGTTATTTCTCCCTCAATGTTGCTTCTTTCACTCGATTGGTTTTTTTATATATATATTTTTTTTGTTTTGGCCAACTCTTGGCCGGTGAGAATTTGACTGGCCAACAGACACATACACGACTTGGCAACAAATTGAAATTACCTTACATAAAAATTGTTTGACCGAAATTGTTTTTTGGGCACTTTGCCTGCAAATGAAGGCGAATTATGTTGTTCGAGACAATTAAGCTGCAACACGCGGAAACAATTTGCTGGGGGCCCAGAGCTAGGCACCAACAACTGTAACAACAACATGGCCACAAAAGCCAAATGACGCTTTTTGGCCAAAAGAAACAACAATACAACAAAAACAAGTACGCGCAATTTCAACGCATTGCGCAACATAATTGAAATGGAATGGAATCGAGCAACAACGAGCAACAATTTGCAAAATCGACATTTAAATATGCATTAACCACATTGACGGTGTTGCTCTTTGAATTGCCTTGGAAAGTGGTTACCCTTACACTCGAGAAAGAAACAGTAATGGTCCCAAAAATATACCAATTGGTTTAAAGACCTTTACAAATAAGTAAATAATATCTTTTTTATATGCAAGTCAAATTGTTTTAAGTGCTAAATTTTTTCCCACACATCTGACTCTTTAAAAGCGTATAAAAGGATTAGAAATAGATAAAGACAAATGTAACTCGTATCAATATTTATTCCTGCTGAATTTAAATGTTTTTAATAAAATAGATTAAAGCATAAGGACCAACCAACTAGCCAATTATTTTAATCTTGTCTCAAAGATAAATAAAGATGTAAAATTAAAATAAAAGCTATAAACTTGTCCTTAATTTGGGTGCAAATAATATTAGTTAACAAAACATACATTTGTTAAATTTATGTTGTTGTTAATTTAATTTTATATATTTTTTATCTTTACAGGAAAACCTTAACTGCCCATTTTCTTGCTTAATTTTTTTTCCAAGTGCCCAACTCCGCCTCGAAAAGTGAGAGTCATGTAGACACACTCGAGACCTAGGCTAAGTACTTTCGCAGACAGCGTTTGGACCCTGTGCTAACAACCAGGACCCAGCCCTTTTTCTTCATGACTTAATCTTATCAGACAAGCACTGGCATTAAAAATGCACTTCAAGGTTCTGTACTGTTCGGCTGTGTTCGGTTCTGGCCATGATTATGGCCTGTGTGCCTGCGCGCAGCTCATTTCGTTAAATGGTTTCTGTGGCTGGGCATAATTCATGGTTGCGGGATTACAGGATGGGTGAAGGAGGAGCCATTGTGGAAAATCAGCAACGCTTGTTTGGCCAGCTTAAAAAAGAGGAAAAAAATCAAGCAGCTAGCAGGAATTAAGTTGTTGTGCGTGGACATCAAGGTCGAGGAGCCACAGTGCCTGCGATCAGTCGACGGACACCACATCATACTTCGCCTTGACCTCGCCGGAGTTAACTTTTCATTTTCCAACTGCCCACATCGCATTAATGCCCAAGTTTATGACGTAGCTCCTCACAAATAGAAAAGCCTACGAAAGCCATCGAAAAGCCGGCTACTGTGCCGCATTTAAGCCGCTTTGGTTCTGGGGCGAACAAATGCGATTTGGCCCATAAAGTTTTGTATTAGCGGGGCCAGCAACAACAGCAACAAGTCAATTGGCGGGCGGGCAGCATTTGCCAAAATCCTGCACAAATCACATAAATCGCCGCTCAAATCCAGCGCCATATTTGGCCAAAATGCCAAACTCACGGCTAATGCTCATAAGTTTGCCGCGATAGCTTCGAAAAGCCGTTTTCGCTTGCCGCGATTGACGGGCATGAGAATACTTGCGGTCGACAGCAAATCCATCGAGCGATCG